TACTAAAAGTGGCTGAAAGTAGTGAATTTCCAACAAAGATAATGATAGGAATGTTTTAGAAACTAATGTTACACACGACTTATCTAATCACGCGGTTCCAAAGGATTTTATGTAAATTATATTGTAATAACTGAATAAAGAACACCGTATAATAGTGCTACTATATTTTATCTTATGATTTTCATGTACAGGGTGGTGAAAAAGTATGGAAACACCTGAAAATCTCAGAGGGTTGGTCATAAAAATAAAATTCTGAAGGTCAGGTCCTATATAACTTTCAACGAGGAATCCAGTGATGACCTTGAATTTGACCTTGGACCTTACCTTCAAGGTCATTTCAAGGTCAACCTCATTTTTTCAAATGAGAACCCCTATTTTTGATGCCGGAATCAAAATGAGCGGGAAATTTTACGTCCGGATACGTGGTTAGGTATGAGGTTAAAGTAACCTCTGGAGGTCAAATAGAGGTCAATGTCGGAAAAAGTATGGAAACCCCTGAAAATCTGAGCGTTGGTCGTAAAAATAAAATTGTTAACGTCAGGTCTTATGTAACTTTCAACGATGAATCCAGTGATGACCTTGAATTTGACCTTGGACCTCACCTTCAAGGTCATTTCAAGGTCAAATTTCTTTTGTTAAATGGGAACCCACACTTTTGACATCGGCAATTGAAAGAGAGTCAAATTTTACGTTAAAATATGCCTTGAGGTCCAAGTTCGACGTGACCTCTGGAGGTCAAATAAAGATTAACAGTATATTTATATCGAAACTCCAAAAATGTGTCTATTTTGATTATTAAACAAGAAAACTGGTTTCTCAATCCAGAATCCTTCTTTTAGCGCTATCAAGGAACAACGACGTGGACGTAGAAGGATTCTGTTCCCTTTGGGGGGCTTTTTTAGAGTAAGTTCCGCTTGCCTTCCACTTGGGGTGCTTTGTTGAATAGGTTTTAGTATCACTGATCTCGATCACGCTACCCTGAACCTGAATCGGGATATACGGCTACACGGAAACACGGCGATTTCCAAAATTACTGAATAAGTTGGCTAAAATAAGAAAATAATTTAGAAAATCAGATATGTAGTTTGTAATAATTTGCAAAAACGATTCACTTGCAGAAATTTGCAAAAACTATTCATTTACGAAAATTTGCTAAAATGATTCATTTGCATAAATTTGGTAAAACGTTTCATTTGCAAAAAATTTCTAAATCGTAGCCTTTCAAACAAATAGCGAAAACGAAGTTGGATCCCGCAAAAATTCGTTTCTATTTTCATTAACATTCATTTACCATTCAAACCGTTACATTAAAAAAGTATTGCTAAGTTTAAATTAGACAAAAAAAAATTATTTTCGTTACGCCCGCTTCTACAAGAAAGAAAGAAAAGAAAGAAAGCCAACGTATCCAAATTTTCAAATGAAAATCCGACGTGTCCGCTTTTACAAATAAAAACTCAACTTGTCCGATTATTCCGCCAAACTGACGAAATGTATCTTTAACAAAATAGCTGTCTCATTAAAAGTCAAAAATTCAATATTATGTGTGGCTTTTTCATGTCCGCGTAGTTACATAAATGATATTGTTAAAAAAAGGTTTTCTTTAGATAGAAAATAAATTTATGAATGAATGAATTTTTATTTCAATTCGCTTGACGAATACATTTTTGGTATTACTGCATAAATAACACTCTGTAGTTGCAAGAGATAAAATTTGACAAAATCACCAAATATTTTTGTTGTAAATTAGTTTTGTACGAAGAAGTCATTTTAAAACCAAAATGTTTCGATTGTCCGAAAGAGAACGGATATCACTTTTGATGATGAGAGGTTGGGGTGATATGCATAGGTCATATACACAGGTAACTAATCTATTTAATGCAACATTTCGAAACGATGGTACTCCTATATCAAGAGGAACTATTTCAAAAACAATAAGACGTTTTGATGACACGGGATCTGTTCGAAATCGTCCTGTTGCTGGTAGACCATCGACAGCAACAAACGAAGAAAAATCTTTACATGGTTTACAGTCTTTTGTAGAAAATCCTCATGAGACTCTTCGATCTGCAGCTTTACAACACGACATCCATCACACATCTGTTCTTCAAATTTTGATCAGAAACAAATTGCATCCCTTCAAAATTAAACTCGTGCAAGAATTAAATGAAGATGATCCTGATCGTCGCACTGAATTTTGTGAGACGATGATGGAAATGATAACTGACAATCCACAATTTTTAGGAAATATTGTCTTTTCAGATGAAGCAACGTTTCAGTTAAACGGTAATGTCAATCGACATAACTTTCGATATTGGTCTGATACAAATCCTCACTGGATGGACGCAACTCACACTCAATATCCTCAAAAACTAAATGTGTGGGCAGGAATTGTAGACGACACAATAATAGGTCCCTTTTTTATCGAAGGAAATTTAAATGCACAAAATTATGAACAGCTATTGCGAAACCAAATTGTTCCAGTAATACAAGCTGTAAAAGGAGACGATTTCGAAAACACATGGTTCCAGCAAGACGGTGCAGCACCATATTTTGCAGTTAATGTTAGAGGATTCTTGAATGAAACATTCTTCGAAAGATGGATAGGTAGACGAGATAGCATAGAGTGGCCTCCAAAATCTCCAGACTTAACACCATTGGATTTTTTCTTATGGGGTTATTTAAAAGATCGCGTTTACAGAACAAATCCAGAAAATCTTGATGAATTAAGACGTAGAATTATTGAGGAAACTGCTCTCATTACAAGAGATATGATTCGACATGCAGTTCAGTCATTTTACATCAGGATTGGTTACTATCAAGAAACAAATGGAGAACAATTTGAGCATCTGTTATAAATTTACTCATCTACTATAATAATTCCTAAAAACGCCCTAAGTGAGAGGCAAGGGGAACTCACGATAATCCAGCACCCCGACGTGAGAGGCAAGGGGAACTCACGATAATCCAGCACCACAAAGGGAACAGAATCCTTCTACGTCCACGTCGTTGTTCCTGGATAGCGCTAAAAGAAGGATTCTGGATTGAGAAACTAGTTTTCTTGTTTAATAATCAAAATAGACACATTTTTGGAGTTTCGATATAAATATACTGTTAATCTTTATTTGACCTCCAGAGGTCACGTCGACCTTGGATCTCAAGGCATATTTTAACGTAAAATTTGACTCTCTTTCAATTGCCGATGTTTAAAGTCTGGGTTCCCATTTAACAAAAGAAATTTGACCTTGAAATGACCTTGAAGGTGAAGTCCAAGGTCAAATTCAAGGTCATCACTGGATTCATCGTTGAAAGTTACATAAGATCTGACGTTAACAATTTTATTTTTACGACCAACGCTCAGATTTTCAGGGGTTTCCATACTTTTTCCGACATTGACCTCTATTTGACCTCCAGAGGTTACTTTAACTTCATACCTAACCACGTATCCGGACGTAAAATTTCCCGCTCATTTTGATTCCGGCATCAAAAATAGGGGTTCTCATTGGAAAAAATGAGGTTGACCTTGAAATGACCTTGAAGGTAAGGTCCAAGGTCAAATTGAAGGTCATCACTGGATTCCTCGTTGAAAGTTATATAGGACCTGACCTTAAGAATTTTATTTTTATGACCAACCTTCTGAGATTTTCAGGTGTTTCCATACTTTTTCACCACCCTGTACACATAATTACACTTACACGGTCTCAAGACAACTTATGTATAAGACTCACATTCATAACATTATCATTATTCTAAATTATAGCCTTCATAATTTAATTATGGCACAAATATATCATGTACATGGCTTTAGATTATAATCCTTAATGAACAAGACAACCGAATTGGCATAGGAGTACTTATACCTTAGATTAATTATTATCATTCAACCTCATCTCTGACATGTTGACGATATTCGTGTTCATAATATCTCTTTATGTTGTTTATAAATTTGCAAGACTAATACTACTAATTAGTTTGATTTCCGATAGAACGTGACAAGCTATTATTATATAGAATGTTATTCTACGAACAGTTGTTTAATGTTTTAATTATTCAATATTCCTATATCCTTCTCGGGCTTTTATTAAACCTCATTTAACACCGTATTATTGGACACCAACCTTTACATTTTCAATAATTGTTTGGCTCTGTATATCCTCCTTTGAACAATCAGACTATCGCGTTCCATAACAATAGTATTAGTTTCTAGCGTAAACCCTCCTATTTATAACCATAGAAGTTCAATCCCATCTCTAGTTAGACCTACTGTTAACGTGAGTTCTAAATCACCAGAGTTACCGTATTAATTTTGGTTTACATACTTTTTTGAAAAAACAAATCCATTGATATTCTCAGGTAATGGAACTCGTCTCCTGCATAAGATTTCGTGCTTTTTCCAATAAACTACTGAGGCTCTGAGCAGTTATTCAATAATGACCTGTCATGAACGATATATTTTTCTATGAGGCGGGCATAATGCTCTTGCAAGATTTTTTTTACTTTGATTATTTATGTTTGATCTATGGATAGCTAGATATTTATTAAAAATGAAAAGTAAAAAGTGTCCTCTTTATACTTGTGAAAAACTTGTTTAGCATTGATATTCGTGATATTATTTAATTTTTCTTATTAAAAGATCTGCAAAGATTGACTAACCGTCCAATGAAACGTAGCCCAGAAAAAATTTACATGTTAGAATTTTTAATTATTGTAATAGGGAGCATCTCTCAAATTCGGATATAACCACCATTTAGAATACTCAAATGTTCCTGATAGATATTTTTGTAAGATTGTGTGCAATATTTATTCGGAGCTAATATTTTTTCCAATTACTTGTATTTTTATGTACTCCCGCCTATATATGTTATATCATCCATGATTAATTCATTCACTTGTTTATTTAATTAATTAAATATATAATAAAATAATTAAATTAGTACTTTATTTCGAGAGTGAACTGTAGAAATAATTAAGTGCAAAAAATTACATTAAAATATTTGTTTTACCTGAGGATTCAATAACTGTGCTATAATTTGTAGTATGTACTGTAATCCAGTCCTTCCTTCATTATCTCGGTGATTTATAATTTGTTGGGCACTAGCATTTAAATATGCGCGAATAACTTCACCACCATTTTGTAATGTGTCGTTATCAGTCGAATCTAGGATGCACTGACAAGCAACTGGAAAAGCAGATTCGACCAAAGCATCACTTAATGGATGTGGAGAATGCTGCACTAATACTTCTAGTACGTCTAATGCTACACCGCGAATTCCTTCTAAAAAAGAATAATATTTATAAAATAACTTTTCAACCAAATATTGTATAATTATAAGTACTTTTATCCCTACCGTCTTTCGCCTTTTCTGAAGGAGTTATATTCATCATACTTATCAAAGTAGGAATTAAACGAGTTTGCATTGGACCTACGCAACCAGGATTTTCACTCAATTCTTTAAAAATATCTTGACATAAATTTAGAATTTCTGGATCACTATGAAATTTGAGAAAAGCTGCGATTGTGAGAGAGCAGAGCTTATTTTCTACAGAAGCCGTAAATAATTTATCCAGCTGTAAGGTCAATAAGTGAATGAAATGTTTCAATTTTCATTGAATTAATTAGATAATACAAAGCATTTATCTTATTACTGGAATCAAGACTGAAAATGTATCCAAAATCAGAGTTAAAATTTCTTTAGAGGTCTGATTAGATATTGTGAATAATCCTTGAAAAATAGTTGATAACTGAGTACGCAATAAATCTAAAAGGGTAGTATTTTTCGAAGAAGCAGCTTTGCAAAACCAATATATTGTTTTTATCGAACTAATACGTATACAATTTGGTTGATTTTCCAACAACCCATTGACAGTAGCTTCCAAAAATTTTAAATTCATCTCATAAGGAAGCTCTTGAGCATAACGTCCACCAATATATAAACACCTACCCAATAGTAAAGGATGAGCTCCTATAATAGATAAAATGCTATATTAACAAATAGTATAATGGCAGTTATTATGACACTTGGATTAAATATACCAGGATTATTCAATGTGCTTAAAACAACGCTATCTAGAAACCTAATTATATCAAATTGAAGTTTTTCTGCACGCTGTTGTTCAGCAACTGCATCTTTTGCTGAACTCAAAGTCACAATACAAGCTTCATACATTTTCCATCTATTTCCATCATTTCTCATAATGTAATTTGAAGATTGTATATTATTTGCTACTTCAATATGTTTTGTAATTGCATCACAAAGAGCATTCACTGAATCTTGTTCGGAGTATGATAAAAGTGTCTGAAAATAAGAAAATCTAAAGTAAAATATTGGCAATTCAATAAAAAAAAACTAATTTTAGACATACAGTAAGAAGTTCTTGTGCTGATATTCTAACGTTGTATGTCGTTATATACTGATCATCTTCTTCTATGAAATAATGTGGATTATTAGTCCATAATTCTATTTGTTCATCTGTTACTTGCATGAATAAAATAAGATAGTACATTATATCACTCAAAAAGTTTTTTATTAAACTTGCATATTTTTCATGATCGACCAATATACTAATAAATTCGAAAGTAACGATAATGAGATTGTTGAAATTGATAACTTCTCCTAGAGCAATAAAAATTTTCACAAAAAATAATCTAAATACAGTGAAACAACTCATATACAGGGTGTCCAAAAAGCTCCGGGACACCCCAGTAAGTCCTGAGATATAACTATTTCCGAGGAGATTAAGGTCATTCCTGTAGTAACTTTGAACGAGGAATCTAGTGGTGACCTTGGTTTTGACCTTGAGATTGACCTTCAAGGTTATTTCAAGGTCAACTTTGTTTTTTTAAATGGTAACCCCTATTTTTGACAACGGCAATCGAAAGAGCGGAAAATTTTACGTCCAAAACGGTATTTTTAAATTTTTTTTCATGGCCTTGAGAAGGTCGATTTAAGGTCAAATGCTTGAAAAACTGCCTAAAAGCGTTTTTTTAATTTTTAAGATATCGAAAAATGACCTCTACAAAATTTGTTCAGAACAGAGTAGGCCACCCAATGCACCAAAAACCTTTGACCTGTAACCTCATTTTGAAGGTCATTTCAAGGTCGAAGTGTTTTTTGTAATGGAAACCCCTCTTTTTGACCCCGGATTCGCACATAGCGCGAAATCCAACATTTGGATAAGGTATTATGTTGGGTTTCGATTGAGCCACGACGTTCATCGCTAAGGTCATGTGAAATTTAGATCCAATATTATTCGCAAAACATTTACAAATGTTTCGGGCTAAATTTATTGAATTCTACTGGGAGCATGTTACAGTAACCTTATCTTCAACCTTCAAGATCATTTCAAGGTTATTTCAAGGTCACCTTTGATTGTTTGAATAATAAAGTAACGGGTAATCCAAACCGAAAGTCAAGTTGTTTTAAATGAGGAGCAACGAGAGACATAGGTACAGTTTTTTTGCCGGATAAGTTGTTTCCACTCACTGCGTTTTGAATGTTTTTTTCTGATTTCGCGCTATGTGCGAATCCGGGGTCAAAAATAGGGGTTTCCATTACAAAAAACACTTCGACCTTGAAATGACCTTCAAAATGAGGTTACAGGTCAAAGGTTTTTGGTGCTTGGGTGGCCCACTCTGTTCTGAACAAATTTTGTAGAGGTCATTTTTCGATATCTTAAAAATTAAAAAATCGCTTTTAGGCAGTTTTTCAAGCATTTGACCTTAAATCGACCTTCTCAAGACCATGAAAAAAAATTTAAAAATACTGTTTTGGACGTAAAATTTTCCGCTCTTTCGATTTTCGTTGTCAAAAATAGGAGTTCCCATTTGAAAAAAAAGTTGACCGTGAAATGACCTTGAAGGTCAAGCTCAAGGTCAAAACCAAGGTCACCACTGGATTCCTCGTTCAAAGTTACTACAGGAATGACCTTAATCTCCTTGGAAATAGTTATATCTCAGGACTTACTGGGGTGTCCCGGAACTTTTTGGACACCCTGTATAATATGTATAGAAGATAAAGAAAACAGTACCATCTGAATCCACTTCATGAATATTTACTGCATCTTCCATATTAACTATTTCTTCCTGATATATTTTAGCACTTTGCGTTAATGTTATCCATATGGATGGCAAGATTTGTGGTAAAAATGATGTCATATACTTGGAAAGTTTTAAGGACAAACAATTAATTGATTTAATTATTTCCGTCTTGAGACCATTGTCACAAATGTTCGGGCTACTTGGTAGATTCAAGTACTGAACAAAGTTTTCACAGAACATGGGTATTATTGGTAATAAATGTTGTTCGATAGCTCCTCTATTGAAAACCCCAGTTTCAGCAACTAAGCTCGCAATAGTTGTGAATATCTCAACAGCTCTTCCTCGAGTTCGAATAGAATATTTCTATGAAAATAAGAATAACATATTTTAAATATTATGTGAATAACCAATAAACATTACTTGAATCCTATTTAATTTATCTAAGATATGATTTATGATCAGCGCAATATAAAAGAGTATCAATAAAAAATTAGACTGCAAAGATATCAAATGTGGCATAATTGAAAAAAATATTCTACTGAAAATGATAATACGTATATTTAATAATTTTTAGTACAGAGTTCTTATTCACTCTTGATTTTTCCCAGGTTGATTAATTCTTAATATTTAAAAAATTTTAATTACTATGTAAAAATATAAATATAATGGACGGGGAATTCTATTTTCATTATATTCTATGGTAAATAGTATATAACTTTACAAAAGACTAATGCTGATCATTCTGCCCGGCGGACAAATTAGTCCCCGAGGCGAAGTGGAGGGGTCCAATCCATCGGGAAAGATTAGCACAGACCGATAAAAAAAAATTCCAGAAAGCAGACCTAATAATCCAAAGGTTTTTAATACGCTGATTTCGAATATGGCCTCAGAATCAACCTATCAACCTAGGTTCCTGAGATATTCTAATTTAAATGTGCGAAAAACAGGCTATATAGCACTTTTCAAGGTTATGTAACATAGTGAATAAATTTTTTTTTTCTTAAATGGAATATATCACCTGAAATCATAATCCTTATCTTTCAAAATCCTTCTTTACGGTCACAAAAATATTCATTTCTCATCAATTTATCGTTAATTGAAAATTACCATCTTAACTAATTTCTTACACCATGATATCATTAAACAAATTATTAGGCAATAAATCATATCAGAATTCTGTTGTTGAGGATAGTGAAAGCATATAGATCACTAATATTTGGCGAAGACCGTCTATTGATTATATTTTCTACTCTCAAAGTACACAAATTTTATCCATACTAAAGTTCTCAGTTATTCTATCTTATAAGCTGAAGTATCTAACAAGCGATTAAAGTACGGATTATTCGTACGTATAATGACAAAGTAACCAGGCATGACACACTCTAAGAAGACTAAGAGCTACTAACCTCAAATCGCCCGTCTGCGTCCCGATAGTTTTTGCCGAGAGAGAGAAACGAAGAGCACACCAAAAATACAAAGGGTATCTGACTTGAGAGAGGGGCTTCGCTGAAGACTGGCGATCTGCTCATCCGCTCATTGACGCCTTGGTAACTGTCGTTGCCTGCTCTTTCGATTACTCTCCGTAATTTCCAGCAGCGAAGGGACCGCTATTCGTTGCAAACTTCCTTACCGCTTCCGCGTTGCCGCAAAGGTAGGCAGATATCCGTTCGCCACCCTCTTTGTTGTCTCAACACCACTCGTGATCAGGTTTTTCTCACTTGGCTATTATCACAACGCTTGTCAGGCTAGAACTACTCACGCTTTCTTGCTTTTCGCGGCATATTCTCACCGAGAAGACTCTTTGAGTCATCGGCTGAGTGCCGCCACCTACGCACGCACTATTGTCTTTAGCCACTCCGACCACCGACGCTGATTAGGAATTAGACCTGAAACAAAGCCACATCGAGCGGCAATACTTGGTTCGAACGACCAAGACATCGATGTGACAGTGGCGAAAGGGAAGGTGCACGCGGAAGAGAGAGAGGCATCTAGGGCGAGCGATTTCAGCGATCGCCTCACCCGTCATACCCCCTCCCAAGTCTAACAATACCCTCAAGACCATCGATGGACGACCACCTCGATCTTTTCCCCGAAGACCACCTTCGGATGTCCTGAGATTCATAAAGATAAAAGAGAAAAAGGAAGGATAATGTCCACGCACACAGAAATATACATCCACTCATTACCGGAACTTTCCAAACCTACACACTACTTTGACTCACCAGTCTACTGATCTATGTCTGGAGCATCAAGAATACATCTTTACAATGCGAAGCACCGCAGCCGTAACATCCTGATGTATTTGGCCGGGGTAGGGTGGCTAGGATCGCTGGTACCTCGCGTAAACTGGCGCACACCTTGCATATCAATCCACGATCACGACGTACTGTCTGGGCTGGGCAACCAGAACGGCAATAGACCCCTGTCCTGCAATTAAAGCAGGAAAACGGCCGAACATTCAGCACCGACTCCAGGCCGCTCAGGAAGGTTTCTGTGAATCGAGTATCTTCGGCGTCCATCCTTGCAACCGGTGTGATTGGAACCCTTACGGGAGAGATATGCTGTACCGTCAGCTACAAGTTGTCTTCCACTAAGCTTGGCACCATCGTCCTCTCTTGTCGAGGTCCGGTCCGAAACAAAATTGACTGACACGGAATGGCCCGTGGAGACGGCTTCTACACGCTCCTCTCTTACGTCAGCTGCCGGTGGTTGGAAAAAACCCCCAACACCAGCTAGGCTCCGACAATCTTCCAGACACACAATCCGTCCTAAAGCATCCACCGCAGCATGTCAGTCACCCCCGGCTACGCGAAAGAAAGATCAGCCTCCGAGTCGGACAAAGCCAAGACCTCCTGGCAACAACCGCCTTGGATGTCCGCCGTCCTCTTCCTCCTAGGACGTGAAGGCAAGGCTCCTATCTCTCAGGAGCGGGAACACGCCAGTCCGCAAGCTCGCCCGATTTCTGGCGACACGAGCGCCTTCTTAAGGCAATTACCTCCGCTGATGCTTCACCAAGAGAACGGTGTCAAATTACGCTTTTCTTTCCCAGCTCACTCGCTTCTCGGGGAAGATTGCTGGCTTCTGCTCGACGATCGCTCATGCTTAGTCCCGTCCACATCGCTCAGGGGCGAGACCCAATTACTTACTGCAAGGACAGGGCCCGTGTTCTTCCTTTTCCTCTTCTTGCTAATACCCTGTTGACTTTCGGCAGTACTCTGACGCTCGTCCTCGAGATAACCGGCAAGCGTGATATTACACGGCGGCGCACTCCGACGGAAACTATGAGTATTCCGAGGGTCCAGCTTTCGGAACTCCAGGGGCATCCACTCGAAAGTTTCGTGGGTGCGGTCCGTCGGCCGCACCATCGACAGTGCCTTTGCCAAGCATATCTCAATCCTCGGAGGTACCTCTTCAGCCACCTTCAAGCGTCCATTCATGAAATCCCTGTTCGGGAATTCTTCCTCAATCACGGCTAGCGGGAGTTCGGATAGCCGAGTAGAGCTTTCGGAGGCTGACGCGAGTGCGGATTCACGCACGTCGCTTGACCTTCCAGCTTCTGCGGTTACTCCGGTGGGCTCCGTAACGAGAGTTCCTCCAACTCTATCTCTGCCGCGCCATTGTCCACCCTTAGACCGACGGTCTCCCTTTCCTCAGTGTTGATCTTCTCTTTGGGGAGTCCCAGGCCCACACTAAAGACGCGATAAGCTGAAAGCCATCGCCTGTCTAAGTATCCGAGTGCCGAGCGCCTCCTGGGCCCGGGATGGAATCGCTACTCCAGGCGTGCGCTCCACGCCGCACCGCTCCGGGAGCGCTTCCTCACCGCCACTCTCCGTGGTACTGACAAGCGATTGCTCGGGTTGAGCCACAGATATAGAGGGCGCTTGCCTCTGTGTCCATAAGTGTCAGGACCATTGATCTGTCCGGGTTCAGCGGGGGCTCGCTACTGACGCCTTTCTCGACAGTCAGAGCTACCAACTTCGCAACCACCTTCTCCATCTGCTAATTCCAACTGCAGTTAGTGTTACTGTCCTAAGTACTCTGTCACTAAAATAAAAGACATCTTAGAAAAAGAAAAAAAAAACGACGCTTCACTCACAAGTTCATTAATTAAAAACTGTAAAGCTCATTTAGCTCTACTTCAAACTGGCCGTGAGTCGTCGATCGTTATTCCGATGGAATATAACCGCACAATGGAATATAACACTTAAAATCCTTCACGTGGACCATTGGCACCTGATGATTATTATCGGACTCCAATTCATATATCACATTAGAGACTTTCCTTATTACCTTGTACGGGTCCGCATACTCTGGATCGAGTTTCACATTCCTACCCGCCACCGAACTCGACGACGAATATTTCCTTCGCCAGACTACGAGAGTCGTTTGAAAAGTCCGTGCAAAGTCAGAGAGATGGCGCTACTAGTGCCTATCAAGGTTATTTTCAGTTAGTGGCATATCTTGGAAGAGAACGCACCAAGTTTCAGCCAGATCGGCCAATTACTTTGCGTTTTACATTCGTTTCAATCAATGAAATCGAGTGGTTGTAAAAAAATGGACGAAAAAGAATTTCGTGTATTGATTAAACATTACTTTTTCAAAGGCAAAACGCCTCAGGAGATTAAACAGAAGATTGATAAACATTATGGTGATTGTGCACCTTTGATTAGAATGGTTTATAAGTGGTTTCAAAATTTTCGGAGTGGCCATATGAGCACAAAAGACGCTGAACGTTCTGAATTCCCTGTTGAGGTTACCACTTCAGAAATCATTGATAAAATCCATGATATGGTGATGGCTGACAGAAGAATGAAGGTGCGTGAGATTGCTAGTACTGTAGGCATCTCGAGCGAACGGGTACATAATATTTTGCACCAACATTTGGACATGACAAAGCTATCCGCTAGATGGGTGCCGCGATTGCTCACGATTAACCAAAAACGAGATCCTATGAAGTGTGGCAAGAATGGTTTTCAGCTGTTCCAGCAAAATCCACAAGACTTTAAGCGTCGTTTCATCACTGTAGATGAAATATGAATACATCACTACACTCCTGAGGCCAAAGAACAGTCTAAACAATGGGTTACCAAGGGGGAATCTGCTCCGAAAAAGACGAAGACAATTTCTTCGGCCGGAAAGGTTATGGCGACTGTCTTTTGGGATTCGCAAAGAATAATCTTCATCGACTATCTAGAAAAGGGTAAAACCATTACAGGCGAATATTATTCATCGTTATTGGATCGTTTGAAAACCGAGTTGCTAGAGAAACGTCCACGAATGGCCCACAAAAAAGTCCTCTTCCACCACGACAATGCGCTAGCTCACGCCTCAGCAGTTGTGGCCGCAAAACCGATGGAGATGGA